ATTTATTGATGATACGTTTCGCCCACCAGGGGTTTCTTCAGTCCAGTCTACTGGAATGAAGCTCTTGGTGAGCGAAACGTATCCCCAATTAATGGTTTAATACTCGCATAAGCGTCTTTCTCATGCTTAAATTTCTCCTTGAGGCTGTGAATATTTGACTTCTACAACTCCTTACTAATATCTGTTCTTTATATTGCAGGAGCAAGACGTGCGACGTGGTACAAGGGACTTGTGTGCAGACTTATGTGCCATACTTGTTCCTGGTGATACCTCTGGGACCTGTCACCCTCACCGGTCAGGACTATGTCTTAGTGGAGTCTGGCTGTGTGTGTCAACCCAAGTACAGCCAAGCTGCCTCCATACCCTCCCCCCTAGACGCCATTCCTGGACTTGAGTGATACTCTTCTGCTTTATCATGGACTGTTTCGTGGAGAAAGAAAAACAATATGTGCTCTTTAATGAAGGCTGAAGACACTGGTTGTTTGTGATGCCAACAGCAGCCATAATTATCCGGTTGAAAATAATGTCCAGTTGTGTTTTTAATAATCATTTGCGTGAGATTTTAATGCTCTTATAGATCTAGTACAGGATGACAATTGGAACGGTACAAGATTGTGGTGTGTTTACTGGCGTTGTATAAAGCTCAGTGACTGGCGACACTCAGCCTGGACTTTGCGAAGTTCATTAATTGGCTGACACTCAGCCTGTGCTGTGTGAAGTTCAGTGATTGATGACAGGCAGCCCTGACTGTCAAACTCGGTGATTGGTTGGGATTCAGGCTGAGATGTGTGAAGCTCAGTGATTGGCTGCCACAGCCTGGACTGTGATGATGGTCTGGACGTGCCCAAAGAGGACACGAGGATAGGTAAGTTCAGTAGTAATGGAAGGCTAGTGATGAATTTGTCTTGGTGTAGCTTGTATACACATAAGTAATTAAAATCAATGTTTTTTTTCCAGCCAATCATGAATTCTTCAATATTTCTAGTTGTCCAGATACGCATACCCACAATATTACTTATACTAAAATGACAGTGCGAAAATAGTGTTCGTTATAAAACCCATGACAGTTAACCTAATTTTGTTTCCTTCCTTTTAATATGAAGTCCGAGAGTAGTAACTACTGTACTTAATTCGGTAATGCGATAACACATAACAGTAATTCTTATGCAGATCCAAAGATGTCTAAAGTTGCCATTAATGATCACTTCATTATATTCAAGTCTACATGCGCTCTTAACTAACCATGGTGCTGATATTCCATGTTGAACTAAGTGTAGTTAGTGAGCTCTCAACATGACAGTGTATAATCCACAATGTTATTCGAGGCATTCTGTTTTCCTTGTTCCTTAGAAATTCATTACCCGGAATATTATATTTTAAAAAAGTCATTATTTTATGGATGTGAAGGTTTTTATGACAAATTATATTATGATATTTGACATTTGAAAGTGTCTCAACATATTTTAGATTCAGTCATAATCATTGGTTACGTCACAACTAAACCACAAAATGGAAGCAAATTTTTTTTTGTGTGTGGTTTAATTTTCAGATACTTGTTTGGTTTACCAATTTTGACAGTAGCCGGATGGTATAACAGTAGGTGGCACCAACCAGGTGCCTGCCCTACACATGGTTGATACCAACCAGGTGCCTGCCCTACACATGGTTGATACCAACCAGGTGCCTGCCCTACACAGATGGTTGATACCAACCAGGTGCCTGCCCTACACATAGTTGATACCAACCAGGTGCCTGCCCTACACATGGTGATACCGACCAGGTGCCTGCCCTACACATGGTTGATACCAACCAGGTGCCTGCCCTACACGGTTGATACCAACCAGGTGCCTGCCCTACACATGGTTGATACCAACCAGGTGCCTGCCCTACACAGATGGTTGATACCAACCAGGTGCCTGCCCTACACATAGTTGATACCAACCAGGTGCCTGCCCTACACATGGCTGATACCGACCAGGTGCCTGCCCTACACATAGTTGATACCAACCAGGTGCCTGCCCTACACATGGCTGATACCAACCAGGTGCCTGCCCTACACATGGCTGATACCAACCAGGTGCCTGCCCTACACATGGCTGATACCAACCAGGTGCCTGCCCTACACATGGCTGATACCAACCAGGTACCTGTCCTACACAGATGGTTGATACCAACCAGGTGCCTGCCCTACACAGATGGTTGATACCAACCAGGTGCCTGCCCTACACATGGTTGATACCAACCAGGTGCCTGCCCTACACATGGCTGATACCAACCAGGTGCCTGTCCTACACAGATGGTTGCTACCAACCAGGTACCTGGTCTGCCACACTGAGAATCTCCAAATTAAAAAAACTCACAAAAAATGTAAATTGCCATAATATAATGGCGTGAATATATCCACGAGTAACATATATAATGGGGAATAACCACGAGTCATACATGTATATCTTCGAATTTTATATAGTTTGAGGGACATTAAGGTTTATAAATATTATTATGTACAGACTATGGATGTTCACCAAGACTGTAGTTTTCTTCAATGTGTTCAAGTTATTATTATAATAAAAATGAAGCGCTAAACTCACTAGGGTCATACAGCAATGTGTTCAAAGAAGGATAAGGCGAGCAATGCTTTATCAAAGCATAACAGTATAAATTTTGACTACAAACATGTTGGGGGTCGTGTTTCTTTACTCTTCTGCATCAACCACTTAATTATTATCACCTGTCTGAATCTTATAACCATTTAAAATACTTGGCCCTAGTATAAATGTCCGTGTCAGTGACTATTCATCTGGAATATCCATATATAGTTACCTGTTTAGCTGGAATGTTCACGTCATGTGACAATGATATTGAGTCCAGGTCTGTCCAGGTCTTTGTTAATATTACTGTCAAACATTTTTACGTCATCTTAGTTATGTTGTTATTCTAATTGTTAATGTTATTTTGATTCTTAATGTTTTTTTTTACTTGTCTTAAGTTACACTGGTGGCACAATGAAAATTTAATTTTCTTGTGTTGTAAACATTGTTATTTTTTAACATTTTAACCTGTTATATTTATTATTTTGTGACGTTAAGATATGTGAATTTCAATACACAAATTTGGAAGTACCAGGTGCCAGAATTATCAACAATCATTTTCTTCTCATTTTTCCTCTAATTGCATGTAAACTACAGCACAGTTTTGCCAGGGTAAATTATTGTTGTATACTGTCCTTTGCTGTGTTATATTAGATGTGTAAGAAAAATATGTATAGTGTGGTGCTGTATATGAGTTAAAGTAAAAATATAGGATAATTGTATAATAATATCTGGCTGAACTTGGTTGATATGGGTGCTGGCTATGTAATACTCTCGTAATATTATTGACGTTTTTAGGTCGTGTTGAAAATTTGTTAGTCATAGCAGATATTTATTATTTATTTGTAATTATTTGTGTACCTTTATCTTCAAGATTTCGATACGAATGCTTCATTATATTTAATAAAAATAATAGAGTATCACTTTATTACTGAAACACACATGTTTAGAGCTTTTGAGGATGTAATAATGACCTTTATAAAGCCGTAGAGTCGTTAAGTATGTCAGTAACTAAATACTTGTATAGTGACATACCATCAAGTTGAATAAGACACATGTTCAACACTTGGGCACCTTTACTGCCGAAACTTTTCGCCTGTTCAGCAGGCTTCTTCAGTTGAATATGGATGGGGGAGCGAATTTTGTACTGGAGACAGTATATACCCACTGAGAGTTTACTTTAATCCTTATATTAATATTAAAATATTGACTGGCGGTGAACTGGTTAAATACAGCCTTAAGGACGCTCGTGTAATCGCAATAGACTAACCAACCTTGCGAAGGGTTCTTTGATCCAAGAAATTGAAGCTTCCTCTCCTTTCCTCGGATCATACTTGATCACGTCCCATCCTCCAAGCGCTATATGACCCTTACAGGTTTGGCGGTTACCAATGAATATAATAATTTTCATTAGATTGTAAGAGTGGTGATGTGTAATACGAAGCTGAGATGATTGCCTTCGTTGTGTGGTGGTGAGTCAGTGAGACTCATACTACTACTGATACATGAGAATCTTGCCTCCTCCTACGCACACCATTTTGATTTTTACAGCTGTACTAGATGAAAGGTATCCACACACCCTGGTGTATATAAGAATAAAACATACTCGTCCATCAGCTGTGTAATTCAGTGGACTCAGGTGACCAGCACCCGGTGAGTTCATTGAGGTCAACACTGATATTATTACATCTTTTATCTGGCTAGCCCTTCAAGGCTTTGATGCCGGTGAAAGGCTCTTGATCCTAGGAATGGAAGTTGAGCTTCCCTTTCTTGAATCAAACAATTACTTTTCATTAATTTATAAGCTAACATAATTTCTGATATGAGAGAAATTAAGATCTCATTAAAAACAGCAGAAAAAATATATCTTAATAGCCATACCATTAATATTAAGACTTTTCTCTATATTTTAAATAATATTCCCCTTTTCAAGCAAGTTAACTTGCACGGCTTAACTATAATGCGTAGATCATATACTGTATTACACTGAGAGGTGTATATTATGTATCTTAGCGTAATACACTGATCTCTATTTTAGGGACTAAACTTGACTGGTAGTGAACAGGTTATATAAAGCCTAATGACCCTCGTTATAGTTTATAGGCTTTAAAACCCCTCTAACCTAACAACTGTACTTATGGAAGGAAGTCTTATTACAACAGTTAGCTTGTCACAGGAAGATCATTCATTATTCAGAGCATAATTGTAAAATGTGTTAATTATCAAAATATTTTGGGAGTTTATAATAATCAATAAAATTCATCAATACGAATTAGTTCATTTTCCCGCCCGAAATAAGTTTTATAAGCGGATGTTTCTTGTTTTCAATTTACTTTTGAGAAAGCATTTTAAATGTAATATGGATAATTAAAATAATAGGATTAATTGTTATTTATTGTAATTATAGTTAGAATAGTGCATATATGTTTGTTTACACACACAAGCTCTCAATGGGATTTCCTTGATGCTGGTGAAGGGCTCTTGATCTACGGAATTGGATCTGTGCTCCAGTTCCCTGAATTAAGACCTGAATGCCTTCCATAACCCCCCTTCCTAACCCACAGGCACTATATACTCCCTGCGGGTTTAACGCTCCCAATAATAAATTAGCAAAGCTGAGCATGAGGCAGCTGTATAGCCCTTGTGGCTTAGCGCTTCTTTTTGATTATAGTAATAATGAGCATGAGGCAGCAGGACAACAGTGCTCAACCAGCTCTTGTTCAGGTAGCACCGTTCTTACATCTCCTTTATTACAGGTGTTTCTTTCAAGTACGCAACTTCCATCTTTCACTCAGGTAAGTTGAATCGAATTTTGAAGCTGCTAAGTTTTATTGGATTTAAGAAGCCAGTCGATGCGAATCTTTACCTTTAATATATGACTTGAACTGTACTAAGTGCTGTCAGCCACATCATGTCAGCATCTCCACAATATTTACAACTTGATCTACTCTGTATCTTGGAGGTCAGGACTCAGCTACGTAGTCTAAATGAGATATTACTAATAATGTGTAGAAATGTAGAATAATCTTTGGATTGTGTTGCTTATATTTCTTGTATAGACCTTAATAATGACCTGATTACAAACTGCTAGGTACAGCTGCTTGCTGTCTTGGCTTTAGAATTCTACGTGTCATAACTCCCAAGACACATTCTGTATGATCGAGTTCAATATTATCGTTTATATGGACTTGGGTTATTTTTATTCCCGTGGACTTAATACTTTGCACTTTTCCACTTGGAATTTCAAAATGAATCTCGAGTTCAGTGGTAATCTGAATTTATTGGGTGACTGAATTTGTTGGTTATCAGCGAATTTACAAGTATAATTATTAATAACATTATTAATTAACGTAGATTATGAACAGAACAGAGAAATATAGGCCGTACTAAGCTTTACATTTGCGTTGCCAGTATAAATGAAAAATTGAAATCAAAGATAAAAATTTAAATAAATATTTAATAAATTGAAATACTAATTATCAGCCAATGTCTGGTAATACAGGGTCCAGCCTGCAGATATATATACCCTTTGCCACTTAAGTTTAACACAAAATACTGTTACATTATACACTGTTTTTATACCATATCTGACAAAGGCCAGTTTAGCAATATTTGTCTCATAAATTTACGTCTTTGTTTTAAAAAGGAACTTTTAGAGATATAGGTGCAATAAGGTTTTTTTTTTCGATGTTCAGAAAACAGATGGATGCGCCATATGATGATTGATATCAAAGGCTTATAAATGATAAAGCAGGTAAAATATATGTTTTAATTACTTTGCGTAACAAAAGATGGCGCACATGAGGTTACCGCTTTTTTATATAATAATAATAATACTGTTTGCAAAATATGTTAGTAGCATCTTCTAGTGAGTCAACTGCAACTATTCTGGCGGAATCAGATGTGGAGAGCTTATAATACGATATATTCTCGTGATAAACTTGCTACCTGCTTCACCTTTGTCTCCCGATATCCCTAAGTTTTCAGTATATTTAGTGGCTCCTTCACTCAAGTTTTTTCTTGCTGCTGCTACACTGGCCTGCTGGTACTAGGAATCCGCCAGAAACATCAGCTGCTGGCGGAATGTTTGTAGATAGGAATATATCTGGTTACCAATTATTGTCATCTTTAATTTGTCTCATTTGTTTTGAAATGTCTAACCATAGGCCTGGTCACAGACCGGGCCGCGGGGGCGTTGACCCCCGGAACTCTCTCCAGGTAAACTCCAGGTAATAGCATATACTCATTTAAATATTGTAAGATATTACATCATGATCACATGATTTGCTATATACAACAAATTTGAAAACCTATTTTACAGTGATGTTTTTCATCTCTGGAGTCACCAGTTGCACTGTGTAAGTCTTTCCTTTAAACAGTAGCTCAAAAGATAGGCCTCGAGTTAAAACATTATCTCCATCACTACTTCCATGGCAACTCAGTACCCGCATACACCACACGGGTAGTGACACCTAAATCAATAACAGCATTACACTCCAATATTCGTTAATAGTGGTGGTTGTCGTGACAGAACAGTATTCCACAAGTGACCTGCCAGACAGGGGCTCACCTCCAGGCAGAAGCGTAAGACACGGGTTTACGTTGGGCAAATACAACAAGTGCATAAAATAAATTTTAGATTGGGAAATTGAAAATCTGTCATTCCAAAGATTTGTTTCATGTAGAATCGCTGTATAGCCCTTGTGGCTTAGCGCTTCTTTTTGATTAATAATAATAATAATAATAATAATAATTCATGTAGAATCTCTCTTCATATTTTATAGAATACCTGATAATGAAGGTCCTCGGAAACTTTTGAAATAAACAATGAGATATTAAGTATGAGTGCTGGTTTTCATCTTATAATCTCTCTCTCATATATATATATATATATATATATATATATATATATATATATATATATATATATATATATTAAATATAGACATATTAATGCAAACAACACTCGAAGATAGAGAAATTCCAGCGCTTCAGACTAATCACATTATCAGTGAACTCATCAAGTTCCTTGATATGAGAGTAGTCACGAAAGGCTTGAATTTCTCTATTCTTTCAGAGTGGTGTGTTTGCATATTCTGCGAAATCACCTGTTTACTGTGATCTTATTGTATGTATATATATATATACTATATATATATATATATTATATATATATATAATTATAGTGCACACAATCGCAGACAGACGATCTTAATGTAAGACAAGCAACAGGAGAACGAAATCGTTAGCTCAGGATCTTTCACACGTCTTCGTGCATCATCAGGAGCTGTGCAGTGTTGCAAGAGAAGCAAAAGGTAGATTGAGGGGAAGTTTTCTGAGAGGAAAGGTAGGGTGTTGACGCCGGCCTGTTCTGACTCGGATGCGTCAACATGCTGCCTTTCCTCTTAGAAAACTTCCCCTCAAATCTACCTATTGCTTCTCTTGTAGCATTACATGGCACAGTTATGTGACTCATACTGAACTGACGATCTCCCTTCCCCCCGTGGCTTGTCTTGCATAGAGTACATTAAGAAAATAATGGACGTTAATCTGAACCGAAGCCCTTGTGTGGCAGGCCTGAACTGTGCAAAGAAGCCATGTAGGTTACACTAGAATGATTTCAACATTTCTGCGACATGGTTGTGTCACTCAGTCTTTGAAACTACTGTCTCTTACCACGCTCCCACAGAGTTTCTGGTACATATATTCTCATACCGTTTGAATTTATGTAGTTTTTAACGACTTTAGTTTATCGATCATATGACTTTGAGGAGTATGAGAATAGATTTACGAAGCTGTGCGGGCGTGGATGAAACTAGTGTTACAAATAGTGGTGGTTGATGCAACCATGCAAAAGAAGTGCTAATTGTAAAATGATCTTATTGAAACCTTTGTGGCTGAATCGACAATGATTCGAATCCTCGTCCATTCGTTCATTACAACTGTCATATATATATATATATATATATATATATATATATATATATATATATATATATATATATATATATATATATATATATATATATATATGTGTGTGTGTATGTATGTCGTGCTGAATCGAAAAGGTTTGACCTGTTTGGCAAGAGTTCACTTTGCCGAATCAGCAGAATGAAAATTTGTTTTTGCCATAAATCAACGGATATCGATCTGAACACAAAGAAAAAATATATATCATAGATTTAATCTGATATTAAATATATATTGACCAATGATATATACAGCAGAATTTAGCTAAAAAAAATTTTTTTATTTAATTGAGGTTACGTGAGGCTTCTATGTTAGTTTTAGTCCAAAAATGACAATCTTTTTATCATTGTCAATTAAAAAAATAGTTATCATTCTGTAAGAGAATTTTTTGAAATTATTGAATTTTTATGCGAGTTCGGCCTATCCGGCAAGTTCGTCTTGCTAGGTACGACATATATATATATATATATATATATATATATATATATAATATATATATATATCAATTTTCTCCCTCCCTTGCTGTCTTTTAATTCTCAAACGTGTCCTAGTGCCTTTAGCGTTAGCCATGTGAGTCTGGAGGTGTTACTTGTCCCTGTAAGTCAACCGTGGATGCACCCTTCGAGTGCAGGTGGCGGCCTACTTGCCAGCATTACGCATACGTTGTTTCAACTGGTGCAGCTTTGTGAGGTAATGAGCGTTGTCCGTCTTGATGGAGGAGAATGTAGTGGCGATGTAGTCAGGGAGCTCTATGCCAACTGCCGAGGAAATCACAGAACTGATGGTTATATGTAATATTATATTCTATAGTCTCTCTTCTCCTCTCTCTCTCTCCTCTTCTCCTCTCTCTCTCTCTCTCTTCTCTCTCTCTCTCTCTCTCTCTCTCTCTCTCTCTCTCTCTCTCTCTCAGAATGGTCAGACAAGTGAATAAGGGAGTTCAACCCTGGCAAATGAAAGGTCATGAAAATTTGGGAAGGAGAAAGGCGACCAGACAGGATACAACTTGAGAGTCGAGAAATTGCAAATATTGCTCAAAGAGAAGGATGATGGAGTGAACATCACACCCAACATATCACCAAAGGTGCACATAAATTGCATAACATCTGCAGCATATGCAAGAATATCTAATCTTAGAACTGCCTTCAGAAACCTCAAAAACATATGTCATATGTCAAAACTATCATGGAGTATTCAGTACTAATATTCAGCCTCTCCCCCCTTTCCCACCTGTTCAAGCATATACTAAAAATAGAAAAGATCCAAAGGTTTGCATCAAGACTAGTCCCAGTGACTAAAGAAATCGAACTTGACGACTTTACAAGAGAGAAGTATTGGGGAGACTTGATAACGACATACAAGATCCTCAGAAGTTTTGGCAGAGGACAGACTTCGTGAAATTAGTTATAGGGGCGAAAGGCCATATATGAAAGCTAAAAGCATAGAGGAGCTACAAAGACGTACAGAAATACATTTTCAGTCTCATGATGGTAAATAAATGAAATGAGCTAGATGAGGAAGTGGTAGAGACAAAATCAATACACAGTTTCAGAAGTAAATATGATAGGGACCATGAGGCAGATGCAATGGGCAAGCAGCAGCAGCAGTCAAGACACAGCAAAAGGATTCCCTGAGCTTTTCCAGCGCTCGGCTGCGACCCAAAGCTGGGGTGTGGCTCCAAAAGAATCCTGTAGTGTTTGCTGCCTTTGCACTTCCTGACATCGTCTGCTGCTACGTAGCTGCCACTCCCTTCGAGCCAAGTGGGGCTGGGTAAGTAGCAGTCTAAGTGCCTAACTTCTCCCTGCGAGCCTCGTGAGGGCCGGGAATG